ATTGAAACACCGGTGTATTAATCTAATGTATGGCAATCATATTATCTTTTATCTAAAACTATGGTAATCGTTATGGTATTGAAGCACCGTGTATTAATCTAATGTATGGCAATCATATTATCTTTTATCTAAAACTATGGTAATCGTTATGGTATTGAAACACCTGTGTATTAATCTAATGTATGGCAATCATATTATCTTTTATCTAAAACTATGGTAATCGTTATGGTATTGAAACACCGTGTATTAATCTAATGTATGACAATCATATTATCTATTATCTAAAACTATGGTAATTGTTATGGTATTGTTGCGTCATCGAGATCACGTGACAATTCTCACGCTCTCTTGTTTCTAGAACTATCCCGTATCTTGGCGAATGGTCTAGTATTTGCTAGATAGGGTAGGCTGGTATATAAAAGAGGGGAAGGTAATGCGTGTGGGTAGATAGTGAGTAATTGAACTGCAGTCACAGGGTATTATTGAGCACGTTCGTTGTTATAGCGTTTGTTTAGCGCGATTGTTGAAGTTGAGTGTATCGGTAAAGTTATATTCTAAAAGAATAAACCAGTTTTTATTAAGAAAGAACTTGTGTCGCTTAAGTTTCGTCGGAACGAAGTTACGGAAAATTAATTAACAACCGGAGACGTAACAGTATATTTGAAATTATATATTCATAATAATATATTCTGTATCTGATTAAGAACATAATATATCTGTGAAATCAGTAAAAGTATATTTACAATTTACTGAGTAGTTATGTTACCATTGCCATCTTTAAGAATTACAGCCGACAGAGAAGATGAAAATCTATGTTTTTGCAACCCGTTTTCTAGACGTCAAGGATAGTTAGCCGAACTTTAGAGGCAGTTTTATACTTAATTAGTAAAGGGCTTTTCTTCTCTATCCATTTGGCTGGGTTTTGCCGACGTCCTGGCTCACGCGCTACCATACACAATGTACAGGCCGTCATGTTTAACCGGACCCATCACTACTGTGCTCCCTGATATCTTAGTAAAAAATAAGATAAGAGGTTGAAGTTTATTTTCTATCTTGACAGTATCCACAGCTCGTGTTTTTCATTGGTTGAATAATCTAAAGTGCTTCTAAGGGAAGGGGGAAAATCTATAAATGAGAAATCACAGCGTCACCAAGTCATGTACAGTCACATAAAAAAACTAGGAGTCCAGCAAACAAAAGAGAGGGGATGTTATAATGGGAATGTTTATAACAGAGTCCATTGTACCAAATTGAGTCTTTTTTTATCACATAAAAAATACGGCATCTGTAGTCTGGTTATGATTAAAACCCTGATAAACAATATATTGCCGTTAATCTTCTAACCAGATGGTCTGTCGATGATTTCGGGATGAGTTCTAAACATTAGAGAAAATATTACACTTTTTTGAGAAACCAAACAAGACTATTATACATATATATATATATAAAGATTTTTTTTATCTAATAGGGCAATAGCTTGTTTGTTTGTTTGTTTGTTTGAAGTTAAGCACAAAACTACACAGAGGGCTATCTGTGCTCTGCCCACCATGGGTATCAAAAACCGGTTTCTAATGTTTTAAGTCCGCAGACATGCTGCTGTGCCACTGGGGGTAGATTGTTTGTTTGTTTTCAATTTCGCGCAAAGCTACACGAAGGCTATCTGCGCTAGCCGTCCCTAATTTAGCAGTGTAAAACTAGAGGGAAGGCAGCTAGTCATCACCACCCACCGCCAACTGTTTTACAAACGAATAGTGAGATTGACCGTCACATTATAACGCCCTCACGGCTGAAAGGGCGAGCTTGTTTGGTAGGACGGGGATTCGAAACTGCGCGCTAACCACCTGGCCATGCCGGGCCCTGGGGGTTAGAGCAATAGCTAATTGGGTTAGCTGAGCTGAAAGGTTTTCTTTCGAATAACTTGATAGCAGCTTATTTCCAGACAGTGGATTAATAAAAAGCTTGAAATAATGAATTAAATAGAGCATACACGTGAGAAAGAAGTTTAGAAGAATTTTGAACACAAGGTTACAAACTGTATCTTCATATAGAGCCATTTTGTTTTTAATTTGATTTTGTTTAATTTTTCCCCTTAATGCCTATAACCCTAGAGATTCTTAATACAGCCCTGTATAATAATAAAAATAATAATGTGTTTTTAATGTTATCAACTTGTTTTAAAAACTTTTTTATGATTGAAAAAAAGAAACAAAATATTTAGCTTAGGTTGTTATTTTTAACGCAAAGATACACAATGAACTATATGTACTCTGTCCACAGCGGGGAATTGAGCCTCGGATTTTAGTGTTGTAAGTCCGTGAACTTACCGCTGACTTGCAAGGGGAACATTATGGGAAGCACATGCAAGCATACATAGTTTTTAGAAAAGTACCAACTACGAAATTTAATAAGTACAAATAGGTGTTAAACATTCTAGATATTTGAAGATTGATGCAAATCAAGAACTTTGTTTGGAATGTGAAATATGTTGGCTCCAGTGGTTCAGGTACCCCGGGGTAAAGAAATGATCGGGGCCCCTTTTTTTCAGAATATAAGACCAGACTAGGCCCCGGGACATTGCACCGCGCTAGTTCCTTCTCTGGTTGGCTCACAGAGAATTCCAAAACTTATATATCTCGATCAGCTGATAAACTATAAACCAGCTTGACTTTCATATCTCAAAACATATAAAGTTCGACTGGACAGCAATAAGCTGTTTCACTGACCTAACTGAGTTGTTTGAAACTACTTATGTCTTGGATTTTAAAGCCAGTATGAATTAATACGTTTCATCATGAACCACTATAATGGGTCATAATAGGGATCGCAAGCAACTGCACAAAACCCTAATAAAACTTTCTGGCAAACAACATCTTAAACAGTAAAGATTCAGTTCAAACAACACTTTAAAATATTTACTATTGATTGCTAAGACTGTACACGTATAAAAATGCCCAAAAAAGCACGCATGTTAGACTTACAAGGAAAAGAAAATCCGCTCAAAAAGGCTAGTACGTGATACTAATTTTTTTGTATTACTATTCTATTGCCAGCCTACAATCCAATCGGCTTGGCATATTGCACCCAAACCTTTTGTAGAATACTAAATAAGTTACTGTGAAGTCGTAGGAGTATTGAAAAACCGACTTGTTTCTTCTATATTTAACATAAGCTAAAAACATAATTATTATAGTGTAAACGATGTTATCATTACCCCTTGAAGTTAGCTTTCTTACAGACATTTGGTGTTCCTATAAAAAGTTTAAGTACAGGGTGAAAGAGAAATTACCAGCCAATAATAGATGAACATTGTATGACTGTAGCATGTAGATACTCAATTCTTTCTACACTATACAATCGGTGTCTTTAGAGAGCCAACCTATATATTATGTCTGAAGTGAAGGAGTAAAAAAATCGATACGCATGATATTAAATTTTATTAAAAATATTCATCGAATAATTACTTTAAAAGTCACTGAGGTTTATTTGAAAAGTATACTTTTCTACTGGTAAAATTTTATACCTGCTTAGTGGGGGCTGTGTCTTAGTCCAGGCATATATTTCTAGGTAATAACATGGAGCCAAAATAGGGGTTTGTAGTTTCAGTAAATGATGTCTGCATTATCTCCACCCTTGTTTCCTCACTTTTTTTACGATCCTCATTTGCAGGTTTTTAAATTTCCAATTTTGTACTTATTTTGTATAAAAATTACATAGAAACACAAGTTCTAAAAAAGCAACTGGGCCCTATATCCATTTAGAAAACTCTACGGATTGTCCCGAACATCCTTTTAGAACAGAAAAGTCTAAAACTAGAATTACTGATGGAGACCATGCCCCATCGGTTTTTCGACAAATTATTTCTAATTTCTAAACTATTTATGCATCGAATTGCTTGTGGATTCAGAACTTTACTCGTTATGAAGTAAAGATAAATACCATTAATATTACAATTAATTTTATTAAGTACTGCTGGGCCCCTATATATATTTTATATAGAAAATGAGAGATTAATTAATATTTTTTTAATTTATTCCATACACAAAGTGTTCTAACTGACACAAACATGAAATTGCTCAATATGTTGGCCTCACCATCGTGAGGTTGTTGTTGTTTTTACTATTGTCTGCTGACTGAGCGAGTTACCTTCACTTAACTTTAGTTACAGTTTCTTCTCAAATGGAGCAGATAGCCTAGTTGCTTTACGTCAAAAAAACGCCAACCAACCAACCAATTCTTCTCTAATTTCATCACAATGCAATACTCCTCCACTTCAACGATCAGCCATGAATCTTCAGTTAATAAAGCATTTATTTTCTTGAACTTCACATCGAGTTTTGTCTCTTTAAGGTTAGGATCTGGCTTACCATAGTTAAAACGCGGAACTTTAGTTTTGTATAATGTATTGGTGTAATGATTAGTCAACAAGGAAACATGATGATTATATAATATAATATAACTTATATTATGTTTTAATAGCTAACATTACCTAAAAATACATTATACAATAATAGAATTTGTGTTTTTAAAGTCAAAATTTAAAACTGGTTTCACCTTTTTTGAAATGGATAAACCTGTTGGTGTTTCTTTTTCTTTAAGAATATACATGTTGTTAACGTAGTGGTTTAAAAAGGAAATATAGTTACACTTAAACCTTCCAACTCGCATCTTGGCAAGCGAACCATTGAGCCGTCTTGTGGCGCTTTTCACGGTTTGATTTCAGTCAGTATTTTGCGTTCACTTCTCCTGTTGTTTAAAGCTGATATTACTGTGTTTGCAATGTTAAGCGTCCCTTATGGGACGTCGTTTTGTGTCTACTGACTGACTGACAGATTCTGGAAATGATACTAGGGACGCAATTATAGCATCTATTCAATGTTGCCACCACAAGAGGTTAAGAGGAATGCATCATATTGGATTCTGAAAATGATACTACAGACGCCATTATAGTATCTATTCAATGTTGCCACCACAAGAGGTTAAGAGGAATGCATCATACTAGATTCTGTAAATGATACTGGGGATGCCATTATAATATCTATTCAATGTTGCCACCACAAGAGGTTAAGAGGAATGCATCATACTAGATTCTGGAAATGATACTAGGGACGCCATTATAGCATCTATTCAATGTTGCCACCACAAGAGGTTAAGAGGAATGCATCCTACTAGATTCTGGAAATGATACTAGGGACGCCATTATAGCATCTATTCAATGTTGCCACCACAATTTTCGATTACTGCGTTCATTCTGACAATAGGATTGTATATTGCAACATATAACATTTCCTCAAGAATCGCCCGAACCTTTGTCGTAATGGTATTCTTCAGATGAGAAGCAGATGCTGGTTTTAAAATGTGGTGTAAGTTAAGCAAAGGAAAACTCCAGAATAAACAATCAGCAGATGGTGAGAACATAAGCATGATGGGAGCGGCGGCTGAGATCCTGGTTTCTGTTCAAATTGCTATTCAGAGTTACCACTACAAATTTTCAGTGCCAGTGGTTAAAAGTGAAGCTAGCTCATCAACTAAAAGCATAGAGCAAAATCAACTTAATATTCTATCTTCGGGAAATCGTTTACCTGGTTAAACATATATATATATATTTAAAGCTATATATTACTGAGTGATCAAAATATGACGAAGTTTTAAGGAAGAAACTGGAATAAAATTTTGTAATTACTAAAAGAAACAAGAAACCTTGAAGTAGTGGCGTCTTGTGACTATTTTAGCAAGGCATGCAACTTTTTATACTACGGATAAAAAACATTTTATTCTAACCGGTATTTATATGTATATATACACAAGATGCCTTATTGGAACTTTCAAGGCTAACAATGGTAGCTTATGACGCGTTTTGCTTTTCCTTTTCCTTTGTACGTTATTAAATGTACAAGAAACGAACACCTTTACATGTACGTATACTAGATGTTCTTCCGCAAGGTACCAGAAAATGTTCCGTTTCAAGAATAAATAAGACCAAAATTAGGAGTAACAAATATTTATATTTCTTGCTTTTCAAGTTAATATGTCATACTATGTTGTAGCCTACAGAATTCATAATTATTCTCGTGATTCATGGCATACGCACGTTTTACTGACGTGACGACAGTAAAAATTGCAACGTTAAGCGTCCCTTATGTGACGTCATCTTAGTGTGTACTCACTAATGATTGACAGCCAACACACAACTGTATATTAGTGCCAATGGTTAAAACAGTTGACCCCTACAAGTAGCCTTCGGCCCCCTTTCGGGAAAATAATTCCCTGAATCTCATCCACTATTTTACCTCAATATTTCATTTTGCTTTGAAAAATATTTAAATAGACGAGAAACTAACACCGCACTATAAGCTTTGTAATTCCTTTAAAATTTTGTATCACGTGCAAATGAGACTATCATGGTGACGTGTTGCAACGTGCAGCCAATCAGGTACAAGTCCACATGCATTCTTTAAAAGACGCAAGCCTGGGTTTTGATAAAAAAAATCTGAATTTGTATCATGATACAAAGCACAAAAGGGCTGGAGTCCGAGGTTCACCTTATCCACACGAAAATTGTTGGTTTCTAGGTGGCAAAGAGTTATATTAGTAACTTCTGATCAAAAGTAAATAAGATATACAGCAATGATTTAAAAAATTAATACAGGATTTTTCCTTCAACCATAAGCACCTTGTTGGTAAGGGTCGGATGTAAAAAGGATTTATACAATTTTAGTGAAACTTATAAATAATGTTGCATACGATGAGATGAGGTGATTACATTTACATTTTCCAAATCAGGCAAAAGTTGACCAAGTTATGATTGGCCACATCATCAGCAGAAATCTCATAGTTAATTATACACGATCCTTCTTCTTTGCCCGTTCTTGCTTCGGTTTTTCATGTCATAGCACAATATATCTTCTGCAGATAGCACTAAACCCTGCTGACCACAACTGAAACATTAATACTCTTCGGCATATAATTATCAATCACCATTATTCCCTCAATTATCTGCATGTCAAAGGTTCCAAGACGTTTGACCTGCAACCTGTATAGCAGCTGTGAATGCGATCATAATAAACTTTTTGATAGCTCTTGTTGAGGCAACTTCTTTTATCAAGTCCAATGATGCTATGGTGGCACTCAAAAATAAGTTTGGTGCTGACAAGGACAGTACTTATAGTAGTAGCCTTCCACCAGATCAGACAATCAATAACAAGGTTTCCCAACCTCAAAGAGACAATGAGGAAAGGTCACATAATTTGACTTGAGGATAAAAAAGAAGAAGATATAATTGATTAATGTATGTGACCATTGCTGTAACCTGGTGTGGCCATTCTAAAACCCCGCATCTCTTTGACCTCTTCTAACGCCTGACTGAAATAGTTTACCATCAAAGAAATTGCATATTTCGATACAGCAGATTCCAGAATTTCCAAGCTGCATGTAACACCTCCAAGGAATAATTACTGGAAATTCTTGTTCCCTTCCCTGCCATCCAAAAACACTATTTTGTCTCTGGTTGGGGAAAGAGATAAATGTGTTAACCTATAAATTGATTAAGCAAATTCTATAAAATAAATGGACAGGAATTAAAAATGTAATATGCAGTTTTTATATATCAAAATATGCACGCAAGTTTTTACATACAACACATCACTCAAATACTATCAATTACTACCCTCGATTAATGTTTAAAAATTACCAAAGATATAAGAAAACCATTAAAAAATTTCATTACTAGGAAAATCATACATATTACCAGGTCTGACAAGTTCTAAAATTTTCTATAAAAGTAATTTATAGTTTAATTACTAACCATATGGCTATAATGTCCACGCAAATATTTATAAAACATAATTTTATCACACTTTGAAAATCAAAAGCTATTTCAGCCAATGAAATGTTATGATCTGTTTCATTTTCAAGGGTTTACTACCAACAGGTATAATAGTTGCATTATGATTTAAAACAATGTATCTCAACCAGCGTAAAAAGTTCCAGTATTCAATGAAAGGACTCATCAGCATTGGATTTAGCAAATGTAGTTTGTTTGACACATTATGCACTATCTCTACCTTCACTCTGTTATTATCAATAACAATTAAACACCAGATCCCTATATTATATTCAGTAAAAAAAAAGTAGACTGAAGATGGCAAACTACATATGGTATTCAAGTAAAACATAAAAAAAATACTGCCCTTTGTTTTATTTATTAATCATGAAACTTTTATAAAATAAACAGAGAAATAAAATCATATTCCTTAAGCTATGACAAAGTCTTTAAAAACATTTTTTCACTGACAAAATACCAACAAAAAACCACAATTACCCTAAAGTCAAAAGAAAACTCAGAAATATTGATTTGGCAAATTATACAAGGTTGAACTGTACCTTCATAGCAGTTATGATACTGAATTATTCATATACCAAATAAAAAAAGTGTAAATATTAAACAGAAGTTTTAAAAGTAGTTGATATGTTAAACAATTTGAAAAATTACCTACAACTCCAGAAGAAAATTTTTCTTTATTAGCTGACATTTCAGTTTCTAAGCTTCATAAGTACCTTTACGTTTCTACCCTAGAATTATAAGTCATTTATTTTGTTGTTTTATTATGAGTCAAAAACTTTAGTTAGTAATTTGTTCCTTAAGAGATAATGGAATTACATGATATATTGTTCGGATTTTTTATGTATTTTAATCATTTCTGAATTAGTTTGTGTCATTAACATTTCTTAATCTGTTTTCTTCTCACAGTGAAAATACTTAACCAAACTGCACAAAATTAACTTTAAATAAAAGTCCAAAGATACAGCTTTTGAGTGAATTATTTATTTTTATCTTTTTTTACAACATTTCAACCACTCGTGAAATTTAAAAATTTTGTTGTGAGATACTTTTTTAACAAAACATAATATTCTTTTCTTTTAATCATTTTCTCATGCTACATTAAATATGCTTTTCACACCACCCTATTCAGTCTATATTGATGTAAATAGTTTATAACCTGCTCTATAAAATGGCATTTAAACTTTGCCTGTAACTATTTTGAAAGATAAATTTCGTTAGTAGATGTTAAATTACCTGCCAGGAAGTCATAAAAGAGTGGAAACTGAGAGGATGTATTTATAAAATCAGAGAGGACAGTTTTAGCAAATGTGAACCTATGCTTTGAGATGGGCATATAAAAAAAATCAGTAATTATGTTGTTTACAAACAGAACTCCTTAGAACTACCCAGAAATGTAATTTTTATTTTCATTTTTCTTTTTGAATTACATTAAATGACAATATGCCAGATTTTAAAGGCTTCTGAGTAAAGAATTATTCAAATACAGTTAAGAATTATCATTTTTACTTAAATTGTTAAATTTGATATGTACGTGTGCACTTCACACCAGAAAGGTGCCAAGAAAGAATAAACAAAAAGATTTACTATTTCTTTTGCACTAAAGTTCAGCTCAAACTGTTCTGTTCATAAAATGAATTATCGGACAAATATGTACCACTGCAATTAATATTTTTATCATCATTTTGATATGGAGCAAAACACTTCATTTTATTGAAACTTAAAACACTCATACAGTTATTAAGTTTTAAATCTGAACATTTAGCTTTATCAACTGAGAGAAAAAATACAGTCTTCATCAATTTAAAGATTAAAGTCACAACCACTTCTGTCTCTATATTAAATACAGCAGTTTGTTTTGGAAATGTTAACATCAAGGTCCCAAGAAATATAAATTGATCCAATATTATATGCCACCTTTTTATAATCCATACAAGAAAAACAACTGTGCCTGTTTAATGAATATTTCAAATTAATTACTCTAGTGCTGAGAAAAGTTGTACCATCTGTACAATAGCGAAACTAAAACGGCCACACTTACTGGAACTACCCAACTTAACCATGAGCTGAAAAAGAGATGAAAAAAAATTAAGATAAGTTTTTGTCTCAAATATCATATAATAGATCCAAGAGATAAACATATCAAATGTCATATGTGCAATGTTATGAATTTTGACATGTATAAAAATTATAATTAAAAGATTCATAGAAATAACTAAGAAAAAAAGGAAAGCTGAAATAGGCAGACAATTAAAAAAGCCTCAAAAGATCATACATACATAGGCAGCAAATAAAGTTTACTGCACAAAAAAAAAAGAAATATAATAATAGGCTTAACTCTGATGCATCCTACATCTGATGGTTAAATTACACCACTGAATGAAAAAAATTATAACAAAATAAGCTTGCAGTCATTTTTTCACATTTTACTACTCCAGAGTTAAAATTATTTTAAAAAACAAAATTTATTTAATTAATTTTAAAAATAACATATTTTTAAAAACAAATTTTCGTTTTTAATTCATCACAACAAGTTCTGAACAAACACATTATTAGTGCTTGTGAATTTCCTTCATTTTTTCTGAGCAAAATATGGTATTCATAACACCCTAAGAGAAAAGTTGAAATGGTTTTGAACAAAATAAAGTTAATTTGTATCTTGTAACTTCAATACAAGTGAACAACTTTTTCCACAATTATAGTCCAGATTTGAATTCTGATGTTGTAATATGATAGGAATTGTTTTTCAGAGAACAAGACAGGTGGGTTTAGTTCGTAGTTTTGTACCATACTATATGAAGTTTTATTTTCTTTACCAGGCCACCGTTGATCAAGTCATTTTTACCTTAAGTCTTACGTACTTAACTAATGGTTTGAATGGGCAATGAAAATCACCAAAAAGAAATGTAAAAAGTGTGTGTGTGTGTGTACATATATATTAGGTTTAAAACATATTACATAATTAAATTACATTAAATCAACAATCTCAAAAAGTTGGCATGCTTATAATTTTGATATGGTACATCAATGTTTATAAACACAGTGAAACTGTGTATGTTGTGTTTGTAATCAAAACAAGGTTAAGCATTTACAGCTTTACAAAATAAAAACTTCATAGGAACATTTTAAAATAATGTAGGAAGACATAAAGATCAATAATTAAAATCTACAAGAAAGGTATGCATTTTCAATTGTTTCTTGAAAACATTAGAATGAAATGATTTTGAATTCAAAAACATCATATTTTATTTTATTTGTGGAACTCATATAATTTGTAGAAAGTTCATTATAATTTTAAAACTATTTCATCCAGTAATTTGTTTGTAATGTAATAAAACAAACAATACAATGGGTGAACTGATGTATCCAGGCACTTTAGAGTTAATTCATGCATTCACGAAACCTCTACAACAGGTGTTGTTACAGGAAAAATAGAAACCAACAAAAAAAGTCCTACTTATAATTTAGTGTGGAATAAATCTGTTAATATAATAATTTTTGTTTTAATTAGTAATTAAACATACCTCCTTTCGCTGCTAGATGATTGTGCCCATTGTGTCTTTTCCTACATATAAACAGCATACATGTGTTTAATGATACATACTCAGATAAATTATCATTAGGAATAACTTCTCCCTTGCTTAAAAGCACACATACTAAAACAACTATAGAAATGCTACAACTTAGTTTAATTGCATAATATTAGAAATTATAAGAAAAACTGTTAAGCATGATAAATTGCTCTTGTGTACACTATAGCTTAAAAGACAACACAGAACTCTCTTTAAAGCTAAGGGAAATATTCATTTTTAAGCTGCTTACAAGATTAAAACAATATCTAACTTGATAGTTAAATAATTATAAATTGAAAATGTTAATATGTCTAGCTCCAATTAACAAACTTAAAATGTAAATATATTATTACACAGAAGTATTTACTTTCAGTAATATATATAAATGTATGTGAATGTTTGTACACTATTTCATAAAAAATTACTCAACAAATGATCTAAAAATTAAAAGAAAAAATTCTAAACAACCTTTAAGTTATGAAAATTAAATGTATTTAAATTGGGCCAATTCAAGAATGATGAAGTTGTCACTTTAAAAACGATTAGTTAGAATTTTCTGTTTACTATTGATTTAAAATAAAGGTAATAAATTTCACATTGATAAAAATAACTGGTATCATTGTCTATATATGCTACTTTAAAATAAGGGATATACCATATTGGCCAGATTATAAGCAATGTTTTTGATTAATAATTAGGCTGTAAAATTCATAGTCCCCTTATGATTGTGACTGACCACAAGCCCCTTCCTCCTACTCTAGCCTGTTGCATTCCTGAATGTCCAGATAGCATCCGTCTACACATGCACACCACATTTGCTCAATGTCTTGCAACTAATCCACATGGAAGCTTTTCAGTAATAGTACTGATTTTGTGGACCTGAAAAATGACTTTGTGACACTCAAGTTTTTTCTTTCCCATGGTCTTTGAAAATCAAGGTCACCTTATATTCGAGATTGTGCTATAATTGGGCCAACATGGTAGAATGCTTTAGTTGATGAAGCATCACATTTTACTAGAGATGGCTGTATAAAGCAAAATTTAGCCATAAGACTAATAGTAATTAAACTGCATTATTGTTTACTGGTCCGATAAAGATTCCATTATAAACATTTCAACTACACCTTGTTTATTACATGTCATTGATAACACAGACTTTCACTCAAAAACAGAGGTCATCATGTCAGCTGAATTACAACATACAATCTTATTTGAAACGTATTAATATCAGTCTTTTAAGAGACATCAAATATTAAGATGTATATGCCTGAGGTGGTAGGACATGACATTTTAATAACAATAAATCATAAAATAACAGTGGTGTCATTCAACAAACAAGTTACTTCTGAAAGGTATTATACTCTCTTCTTAACAGAAATCTGCATATTGCTGGTGAAGAACAAGATTTAAATTATTATCAGTTTTATTGTGATGGTATATCCGACACACATTACATTTAAAATAATATTAGGTATGGTCTTATGAGTTATAAACTATATCATTTGAGGAATTTCTAAATTTCAAAAAAATTCAAGTTTTGTAAAGCTGGTAACAAATTTATAAAAATATATAAACGCCAATAAATTTATACAGACGACAATTTGTAATACCATTTAAAACAAGTAATATTACAAATATTCAGTAAACATTATGTTTCCATTAACAAGACCTGTATCTATATAAACATATGATGTTTCAATATTTGTATATGTTATGATTAAATTTCAAAAAAAGATACTTACTCCAAACTGAGGCACTTTTTTCTGATCCTCCTGAAATAGAAAATATGAATGCTATTAGTTTAAACACACTCATTTAATTCTTTTGTGATAAAGAAATTGTGACATTAAACTTTACTGCATAAAACTATCAAGTATACTTTCATGAATATTTGATTACCTAGTTTACATTTATTACCACTCTTATAATGATTGCACATCAAATATTATTTCAATACTTTATCAAATGTTTTTTAACATATAAAAAACTATTATATATAAATTTCTTTTCAAATTTTTCTGTAACACTTGAGGTAAGGTTTAACAAAATCTGTGATGCATATATAAATACATTCTAGAAGTTTAGCATAACTGCTAGCAGTAAATGAGGTTTACATACTTCACACAGTTCTCCAATCTTGTACTGTTTCATCAAATCCCGAGCATCAGATGAGTGGCCTACATCTTCAAATGCATCTGTTGCATTTTTTCCTAAAACCACATAATATCTAATTATAAATCTTTACAATGAAAAAAAACAATGTTTCCTCTTAAAAGTCAGTTAAAGTTTGTCTACAATATTATTTTTTTTCTCTCAGCTCTGATGGTTTACTCAGGTTTTTCCAGGTTAATTGTGAAAAGATAGATATTAAAATTTTTACATAGATTTATTCTTACACCTGATAGTTCTACACTTGTATGGTTACAGATAATGGTTTTGAATTACAGCTTAAGTGAGAGTTCTGTTTAAACAAAGGAATGCTTAATACAAATGTGTTATGAAAAAGGTTTGAAGAATCTTTTGCCACACATGCTCAAATGTTGAAAAAAAAAATTGGATGCTTTCCTTCCTAACGTAATGCAATCTTAGCTACACAATAAGTCCAAGTCACATCAAGTCTACAGCACCAAGTCAAATGTCATAAAATGTTTTATTTCAGAATAACAGAGAAAAATGCTCTTCCCAAAAAAATAAATGACTAATTCACAGAAAAATTAATAAAAACCTCATTCTTAAGCTTAAACCTGTTTTCCAGCACCAAACAAACTTTGAATTATAAATAACAATAGCATGGACAGCATATAATAGAACCAAAAGTTTGATATTAAAATAGTTTCATTGTGCTATTGTACTTTCCCATACCTCAAGGATTAAGTCAATAATTACTTCTAAGTCACTGGACAACACAAATGCAACATAATGTAAACTAACTTTATGAATCTGACATCTTGCTAGTGGTAAATGTTAACAAATAATAGAGGTACTGTATTTGTATTCTATGAGAAAGGCTGGTCCAACTTTATATTTCATCATAAATAGCTTTGTCACCTCATTTTAATGATGAAATCACTACTTCAGAGAAGATTTTTTTAACTGTTTAAATTAATGACCTGGATACACCCATTCAACAATGTTCATATTGCAGCTCCTGGTAAATTGAGTATTCATATGATTTACTTGATATGAACGTTGTGTGACCTTCTATATTCATTTCAATTAGTTTGCCTGCTGTAAGTATTTCAATGAACAAACTACACTGAAAAGATTACATAGGAGGTTTACAAGCTTTTATTCTACACCCCCTCATCTTTCATTATTCATGTTCCATGAGTTCCTTCTCTTTGTAAGAAACTATTTTTGCATTGATTCTTGGATATTTTTAGCTCAAGGAGGATTGTTATTTTATGAACAATATTTTGAAGAAACATAAAAAAAAATCTTATATTGCCAGATACTTGTCCATTCTTTCCCACCCCTTAGTGGCGCATGCCTCACTCTTTGAAAACCAACAACCTACAGCATGGATTAACAACTGTCAGTGAAATCCTTAAAAAAATTATCAGTGTTTCTGAGTTATGCCTGTGCACTTTAGTCAGATCTTTTACGATTCCAAGAATCAATATAAATTTGAAGGTTAGTTAGTTCTACTGTTTATGTATTCAGAAGAAAAACTCAAGCACTATACAAAGTCCATTTCAAAAATACACTAGCTACCCCAGCAATAGCGACAAATTAAGTCCTGAAAGAAATGTAATTGACTAAAATTCCAATTAATGAGAAACTGTGTACTATCATACACTGTCCTATAACTATCATATTTTGAAATAGAATTATAATTTTTTACCTCCTTGTTCCAGCAAAATCTCTTCACCACCAGGGTGCTGAAAAATAGTATCATTAGAGTAGAAAGATGTCATAGGCTTATATAAAATAAAACTAAACAAAAACTTTACATTTTTTTAAATGTATTTGCTTATATCACAAATATGCTTAAAAATATGCTTAAAAAATTTGCTTATATCTTATTCATATCTAGGGTAATTCTCTACAGGGCATTTTGGGTGTTCTCGTGAATTATTTCCGGTTGTGAACAGATGAATAATTTTAGTCTTTAATTAAAATGGAATTTTGCTAAAATTAAAACACAAAAAACGAAACAAAAACTCTTACTACATCAGCTATAGAACAAGAAACATACGGCTAAAGAGTTTATAATCGTTTTTCGATTTCAGACTTTTTGTTTGCATTATTCAGGATCAGGTCTTTTGCATTGCCTTCATCCATCTGTAAATATATGTGTATTTTAGTTTTAGTGTAAAATTAAAAACTTAACGAGACATAGGTTTACGAATGGATGGAGGCAATGCAAAAGACCTAATCCAGAATTGTGCAAACAAAAAACGGGAAAAACACAAACTAGCCAACAACATTTTTAGGCACAAAACAAAATGCTGAAAGAAAAAAAAGTAAGCAACAACAAAAAATACATTTAAATTAAAAAAAAAGATAGAAATAACTGTTTTTGTATAACAAAGATTCAAAAGAAATAACGCTAGTAGTAACAGTTTTAACTGTAACACAACCTCATACTGAATATTACTCGTGGTGCGTTGGGATGCACGTACCTGTACAATGCGGAGTATCATAAATGACAAGTTATAACTTAGTACACGATAACTTACCTCTTCTATGAATTTACTAACATCATACACGTTGTGATGAATTAAAACCCATAATGAGTTCTTTTCATTATGTTTGGCTATTTCTTCGAGAGTTAGGGTTTTCATACTTTCTGATTCCGACATCTATAAAAATTTATAGAATTATTTTAATAGTTTTTCTCCGCCTCACACTCGACCTTGGAACACAAGGAAAAACAAGGACCACGGCCTTCTATAGTCCATGCAGATACAACACACTGTTAACACGCAGCGCCCTCCAGTGGAATGGTCTAAAGTAACGCAAAGCTGCACAAAGAAGCTAAATGCACTTTTAATGGCTGGAGACGGCTTGAATGGGTAATGAAGAAAAACTTTAATATAAGTTTAACATAACAGCAAATGAACAACGTTTCGACAAGGTTTTGTCATCATCAGGTACCTTGTCGAAACCTTGTACATTTGCTGTTATGTTAAACTTATATTAAAGTTTTTCTTCATTACCCATTCAAGCCGTCTCCAGCCATTATTAAACCAGCATCAACTAAAAAAGAAAAAAAAACTGTAGCTTATTCGTCAGATAGTTGATATCTTATGGATAAGTGTAAGAGATGCAAATGTTCTAAAATTATTTCTATAAATATTAATAGTTTTTCCCTATTTGTTATTTCTTTCAACAAATTCCGGTAATGCAGAAATCTACTTTAATGGTAAGAAGTAACTAACAGAGTGTTAGTAAAAAAATTAGGATCGTCACGACGTTGGTGCACTTTTGAAGAAGGTGTTTGATGTTTTACGTTTCCGAATATGAATATTTTTAAATGTCTGTAGTATACTGCATAAAAACGGAGAATCGAATATTTGTGCCAACAACAGGACACAAAAACTACAGTTATAAAATATCGTAAATCATCCATTTCGTTACGTTATTTCTCCGAAAGGGGGCCGAGAGTTTCCTGGCGGGGTCACCTGTTTTAACCATTCGCACCACTGTACAGTAGTGTGTTATCTGTTAGTCAGTAGACATTAAAATGACGTCATATAAGGGACGCTTAGTGTTGCAAGTTGTACTGTCGTGACGTCAGAAAACGTGCGCATACCATGAATCACGAGAAGAATTATTCACTCTGAAAGCTACAACACAGCATGACATATGAACTTCAAAAGTAAAAAATTAAAATATTTGTTACTCTTAATTTCAGTTTTATTTAGTCTTGAAAGAGAACACTTTCGGGAACCCTGGGGAAACACATCTAATTAATAGCGCAGAGAGATTATCACTTCGATTCCATTTTCGACCCTATATTTGTAAAATCCTGATTGCGATGTCTCATTATTCTAACTATATCATTATTTAATAAAAGAAAATGTGGAACCAAGACACAAACGTAAATTACTTGATTAAACAGGCTTTTATTATTAGTTATAATAGAATAGATAATTAATAACAGAATGTAACAACAAGGAGAAAAATATAAATGTATAATAACCAGTTATGATCCGTTGGGAAGAGAAAACACTGAACACAAGTAGTCTACCGTTTTGGCATGTTTACGTTCTTAGTGTAGGATGTTCTCATGGAGGGTAGTAACTCTTTTTAGCCTTGGCGTGGTCTGGTGGCTAATGTGCTCGATTGGCAACCTGCGGGTCGTGAATTCGAATACCATCATCGAATATGCTCGCTCTTTTAGCCGTGGAAGCGTTATAATGTTACGTTAATCCCACTTTTCGTTAGTAAAAGAGTAGCCCAGAGTTGGCGGTTGGTGGTGTTGACTAACTACATTCCTTCTAGTCTATTACTTCTAAATTAGAAATGGCTGGCTCGAGTAGCTGTTCGCGAAATTCCAAAATGCACAATTTCACAGTTGCCAGACTTTGACTTCTAGTTGTCACAATGTTTTCTCCGGTAGCATAAGATAATGATAAGAGCCTTTTTGTGAGTGACCCCACAAACGACACTCAGTTTTTATTGTGTCGACATGTAGGTATTAAGTAGTCGAATAACTTCCGTGTTTATTTTTCCTAACAAGTTCAAATACCGTCAACTGGCGGTGAATTTTTAAATTTAATTAAAACAATGTAAGTTTAACAACAATCATATGTTTCAAAGTAATAACTTGAACATAAACCTTATATTTCAAACATTATAACAGAACTTCTTCATAAACAACATTTGCAGTTTGCTTTCCATGTACCAATAAATAAAGATTTTGAGGTGATCCCACTCTTGAACACCCTATATCTCACTGACCATGAGAAAAGCATGGCTGTTTAAGAAACAATCCAGCAACTTTCATACTTTGACCTTAAATCCCTTTAGAATGTTCAACATTGAATAAAACGTCAACCTGCCAAGATTGTTTGAGATTGACTCAAAAGGCTGGGAGTAATTAACCAACTGGCTTTACAAAATAAAAATAGGGTTGAATTCAATTTTGACTGCACATAGGACTGTCCCCATAGTTCATGGTGTTTACATTCTCATTTTGGGTTGAGATTGGCCCTATAGGCA